TGGGTGGATGGGGGTGTCATCCACCACTTTAGTTGGCAGTTGTAGGCGGTTTTGAGAGTTTGCATATATATTGCTAATGTGGGTTCTATAGAGAGGGCAGATTGAGAGTGAGACATAGAGTTGTGTTGTGAGAGACTTTTGTATGCTTCTGCAGGTTGAGGCCTTTCCTTGTACTGTTTTGTGAATAATAGTAAAATGTTGGAAGCCTAGTGCTTCTGTAAATTCGTGGGTGTTATTGTCCTTATATTCTTGCAACTATATTTGTGTGTGAGAGTGTTTTACTTGTTATATGTTCTTGGCAGCAAGTGTGAGTTGGCTGAGCTAAGTTAGAAATTCAGAGAAAAGTTGTTCATATTTCTGGCTTAGTGCCATCACAGGCCACTAGATTCGTGTTTAGAATTTACCCTGTGACAATTGGTATCAGAGCCCAGAGTTGGGTTCATCATGGCCAGTAGTAATTCTACAGAAGTTCTCAAAGATCGTGTGACTTGTTTGGAGGCCTTGGTAGGTGCTCCACATTCTGACGATGCTGCTGCCTTGACGGAGCAGATGGAATTGTTTGCAGTTGAGTTGCAGACAATACGATCAATGCTTGAAGAGTTTGTGGAGGAGACAAACTCAAAGATGCAGATTATGACGGATGATGTGATGTCCATGACAGACCTTTTCAAAGATCGTGTGAAGGATTTGGAGGGCGATGTGGCTCTGTTGAAGAGGGTCATGCACAATCAGACTGTGTGTGGGAGAGAAGCCATCATCTTCCAAAATCAAAATTCCAGAACCAAAGTCATTCGGGGGCAAGAGGAGTGCCAAAGATCTGGAGAATTTCTTGTGGGATATGGAGCAATATTTTTGAGCAGCCCACATTCCAGATAATAACAAGGTAACTATTACCAGTATGTATTTATCTGGTGATGCTAAATTGTGGTTTGGTGGCGGACTCGGGTGGAGGACGAGTTACGCCCCAAAATTACTGTATTTGCAGAGCTGAGGAAAGAACTGAAGGAGCAGTTTCTTCCAGCAAATTCTGGTTGGGTGGCTCGGGAGTCATTGAGGAGACTCAAGCATATGGGTACGGTGCGTGAATATGTGAAAGAGTTCACATCTTTGATGCTGGATATCAAAGATATGTCCGAGGGGGACAAATTGTTTAATTGCATGGCAGGCTTGCAATCATGGGCACAAATCGAGTTAAGGAGGAACAGTGTGATCGACCTCTCTTCTGCTATAGTTGCAACAGACAGCCTAGTGGACTTGCAGATTGAAAAGTCTGACTTTACTATCGCCAGCAAACTGAAGAAGAAGGGCAAGTTCGGTGACAAACCCAAGAGGTATGGTGTTGCTGAGGAAGAGAAGGACAAAGGTAAGTCAGAGGTGACGTTCATCCAGCATAGGCCAAAGTTGGACAGTGGTTACTTCATTTGCAAGGGTTCACACAGGGCGAGGGACTGTCTTAAGAAGGAGAAGGTGAATGCTATGGTTGCTGAAGAAGCCAATGGAGGAGATTCAGACTCGGATAAGGGTAATGTTCGGGTCAATCCTCTTGTCATGCAGTCATGATAGGTGCAGGTGGGCACGTGGCTTCGGGGGAAGGCTATGCAGAGATGCTCACGGAGTTCTTGCCAAGGTTGGTAATGGTGAATTCCCTCTTTATTTGTTTTTTCTGATTTGGGTTGCTAGTTGTGAGGACAGAATCCAAATATGTTTAGAATGCATGTTATGAATCGAAGCGGAGGTTGGGGTTTATGTCATTATTTAAGTGCAGCAGTGGAGTTGTTGCAGTGTTAATTTTTAGCATTCGAGTTGGTCAGGGCCAACATGCTAAGTTGCAGGCAGAGACTTGTGACACTTTGTGATTGTTTCAACGAGGACGTTGAAACTCTTAAGTGGGGGAGGTTTGTTACGGGATTGGGACCTTGACAAGCCCCCTGACAACCATGGGATGCTGTCAGCGTGCACTGGGGGTGCCCGGTGGCATTTTCATAAATATGGCGAAAAAGTGAAGCTTGGAGTTTTGGCTTGGGATCTTTATGGGAGGTACCTTGAGTCTATAGAAGATGGTTGGCGTAGACGGCACTCAATTTGGATGTCGTGCACTTTGAGACATTTATATTAGTGGGCTTAGCACGGGCTAAGTTCACAAGGTTGGCTCAGATGTTGCTTAAAGCATGGACCACACAAGTCATGGATGTGTGGAATAGTCAAGTCAGGGACATGGGCACAAGGCAGTAGGCATAGGCAAGGCTCAGCATGCAAGGTTGGTACAGGGGACTCAGACATGACTTATGGTTACAGAAGATGGCTAAGTGGGCTCAGGTGGTTGGGGGAAGTTACACTTCCCACTAAGTGGGCTTAGTTGGTTGGGGGAAGTTACACTTCCCACTAAATGGGCTTAGTTGGTTGGGGGGAAGTTACTAACACTTTTCACTAAGTGGGCTCAGTTGGTTGGGGGAAGTTACTAATACTTCCCACTAGTGTGCTGAGTAACTTCCTAACTTCCCACTCATATGCATATATTATGGGGAGTGGGGGTGTGCTAAGTAACTTTCCATGCATGTGGCACAGATCTGAGGGGACAACACACAGGTGGTTAGAGTCGGTTTTCTTCCATTATGCTGATATATAGAAGGTGGTAGATAATGTGTAATTTCCTGTGGACAAGTGGCATGAGCAGAGCGTGCCAACAAGCTAGTAGTTGGGCTTTTCAACTACATATGTAGTATTGGCACACTTAGTGTGTGTTAATATGACCCTAGGTGGATAGGAGTGTCATCCACCACTTTAGTGGGTAGTTGTGGGTGGATGGGGGTGCCTCCACCACTTTAGTTAGCAGTTGTGGGCGATTTTGAGAGTTTGCCTATATATTGCTAATGTGGGTTCTGTAGAGAAGGCAGATTGAGAGTGAGACAAAGAGTTGTGTTGTGAGAGACTCTTGTATGCTTCTGCAGGTTGAAGCCTTTTCTTGTACTGTTTTGTGAATAATAGTAAAAGGTTGAAAGCCTGGTGCTTCTGTAAATTCGTGGGTGTTATTGTCCTTACATTCTTGCAACTATATTTGTGTGTGAGAGTGTTTTACTTGCTGTGTGTTCTTAGCAACAAGTATGAGTTGGCTGAGCTAAGTTAGGAATTCAGAGAAAATTTGTTCATATTTCTGGCTTAGTGCTATCACAGGCCACTAGATTTGTGTTCAGAAATTACCCCTGTGACAGAAGCCATAGTACCTGATCATGGGATGATAACAACGAAGAGAGAATGAACTCCTTGAGATGGGTTCTTCGCAATCTCAAGCTCCAATCTCTCGACTTCGACTCGATCTGGCGGCGATTTTGTATCCTCCACGTTCAGTCACCGTCGTCCATCACCGCTGGAATCAGTCCCAATGCTATCCCTTATGGTGGTTTGTCAGCCTTCAATTCTCTCTTTATCCACAAGATCGTTTCCTTAATTTCGCCATAATATCATTTTTTTACTTATAATATATCTTTAAATCGATCAATTACTGAGTTTGAACTCACAAGAACACTTTAATTTTGACGACCGTTACGTTGATTTGGAGCATGAGTTGCATAATCAACGTATATTGGTAAGGTTTAGGTTATCTGGGTTTGAACGGAAGCAATGTTTCTTCTCCGGTGAGGTCAGAATTTGGGGTAAGGGTTTTTTTTTTCCCCTGATTTGGGTAAGTTTTTTTTTGGGTAAGTTAAAATCTCCCTTTGGGTAAGTCAAAATCTCCTTTTTTGCTCCTTGCGGAAGAGGAAATCAGTTCTGTTTGGTAATCCTATCGAAACTTGACACCTCCCACATATGTGTGTGTGTGTGTGTGTCTATATATATATATATATAGACAAAGGGAGGGAGGGAGAAAGGAGAGGAGAGAGAACAAAACTTCGCAGCCACGGTGAGTTAATTTTCATGACCAAGTTCATGGTTATTTTGTTGGTGGCGGTGGCGCCCATGGTTGGTGGTGACAGCCGAAACAATTTAAGATTTAATTTTTTTTTGTTTTTTTTTTTTTTTTGTTTATCTCTTTATATATAGAGTATATATTTAAGGTATTTTAGTAATATATCATAAAAAATTAAGGGTATTTTAGTAAATTAGTTAGGTCAGTTGGTGTATTTGACGGTCCGTCACTCATAAGGGAGGTCCGTGTAGGGGTGCAACTTGGTTTGGGTAACCCGGACCCAATTCGAGCCAAGCCCGATTTTTTATGGGCTTGGGCATTCATTTTTACAATTGGGGTTGGGCTTGGGTGGAAAAATCTCAACCCGAATTTAATTAGGTTGGGCTTGGTTTGAAGTGCTAGCAACCCGAGCCAACCCGAACCCAAATTATAATATTATTTTCATATATATTTTTACTTTTAAATACATTATATATAAAATTTAAATTATGATTACTTTTTTTATTTTCAACTTTTTTTTTTTTGTTAAATGTTAACTTATTGTATTTTAGCATTTAGGAGAATTAATTTTCTAAAAATTTGTTTGTAATTTATTAAAAATTTACAAATAGTCTTTAAAATTCTTCTTGTTTAAAAGTAGTTAATCCAAATCTAATTCAAGATTATATTAAATTTTCAATATAAAGATTAGCCATATGAGTAATCCGAAATAACCCGAAATTTTAACCTGGAATCTAAGCCTGAGTTGCAAGCCCGAATTTAAAAGTAAAAGAATGGGTTGGGTTCGAATTGAGTAGTTAAGGTTGAGGATAGGGTTATGATTGGGTTTGTGTTTAGCATTTCATATAATGGGTTGAGCTCAAGTTATATCTCAAACTCGTCTAACCTGTCTGAGTTGCAGTTCTAAGTTCGTGTAAGATATTTTTATTTTTAGAGAAGTTCCGAATAAATTCTTAAATTAAAGAGGACCATGGGAAGTTTGTGTAAATTAGCCAAAATTATACTAAGATGGAGACAGGATATGGGACAGAGACAGAAATAGCATTAGCCACCGCATTACCAAACACCACCATATATACAATACACGCGCGCTATTGGCTGAACCATACCGTACTCACCTCACAATCCAAAACAAAGGACTAAAAGGAGAGGGACTGAGACAAAATACGCATACATGGCCGAGCGTCTCTGGCTCACACTATCACCATCGTCAATGGCTTCTTTCGGTGGCGCCGCCGCCGCTTCTCGCCTCCTTCCCTCCGCTACCAAAGCCTCGCTTTCTTTCTCTACCTTTTCTTCTCCTCCTTCGCTCTCTCTCTCCTCCTCCTCTTCTTTCTCTTCCCTCAAATCTCTCCGATCTTCTCCTCTCATCTCTCACCTTTTCCTTCACCAGGTTAACATTTCTCTCTCTCTCTCTATATATATTTATATATATTCATCTGTATGTGTTTAATTATGTATCTGATGAATGCAGAAGAGATCGTCGGTTCATGTCTCCGCTAGCGGTTTCAGCACAGTTGCTTCTCCAACTTGTTTCGCATCTGATCCTGACCAGTTGAAGAGTGCTAGAGAAGACATCAAAGAGCTTCTCAAGACTAAATTTTGCCATCCTCTTTTGGTAATTCTTTCTTATTCACTAATTTTGATTGAAATGTTAATGTTGGGGAATATGAATAGCATCAGATGTATACAGTAATGAGATTGATGATGTTGATTATACATTTGTTCACGTAATTCTGTATTTAGTGATTTACAGAACCGTGGATTGTGTGTCTTCGCTAGGATTGCTGCTTCTAAAATTCCATTTGTTTTTCGTTTTATCTTGTATGTGAGTGAATCATTTACTGCAAAAAATATACAAATAAGTAAATAAAACTTGAGGATTTTGTTTTCAGACAAGTATTGGTTTAGCCTATGTGTGGTTTGCACGAAAGCAGGGGAAAATAGAAGAAATAAGACTTTGAATGTTATGTTAATCTTTTATATATTTTTCTTATTGGACTCAACTGTAAAATACAAGAAACAAATTTTTTATACAGAACTTATGTCAGAATGATGTGGCAGTGTTATTTCTAAAATTAGGTCAACAATTCGAGATAGAGACGAGATGATTGCTTGAACACCAGTTCTGAAACCGCACCTATATAACCGGTGAAGAAAATTATTCTCTTTCTAGATGGCTTTAGTTTCTCTTTCCAAATGTCAGAGCTTTTGGTTTTCATATTTATTGACAGAAACCAAACTTTGACTTCTTAGTTCAGTCACTTAATCCTGAGATACAGATCAACCTCTTGATGTTTCAGTTGGGGTGGAAAAAATGTAAGTTTTGGTCAGTTCTAAATCAAGCACTTGAGTAAGAATCATGATATTTGGTTTGGGTCGTAGCTATTTCGGCCATGTATCTGTATTTAAACTTGATCAGTTTAATTTTTGGACAATTCAAACTGAATTCACGTTGCTTGAATCACGTGATAGTTAAGACTGTACTTAGACTATATTTTTTTATTCAATGATTATATGATATGCATTTATATTTTAAAGTATTATTAACAGAACATTTTTTTAAATCTGGTTCACTAGTTTAAATTTGTCAAACCTTCAGACATGAAAGTTTTGTTTAAACACAAATAATATTTGGTTAGTTAGAAAAAAGTATGATGATGATCTCTACTCTTTGGTACTCTCTCTATCTTTCATTATCAATGGAAACATCCGATATTGCCTCAAGAAACAATTCTGTGGCAAACATGACACTGAAATTTTTAACCAATTAGTGCCTCTTTTGCTTTACTTCAACAACGCCTCCAATTCCAACTACATCGGGGTTGGTTGAACACATTTTCCATTTAGTTCTATCTACTGGCATATCATCTGTTAAATTACTGGCCATGCTGTTAGTACACACCACTTTAATGTCTAAACCATATTCTTTTGTCCTTGTCTTTGTATTACCTTCAACTTGATTCAGATCATTCTTTAGTGAAAACCTGTGTATGCAACCATATTTTTTATTTATTCAAGAAATAAATTTCAGTGCATGGGGAAAGGGAACTAAATTTTATGTCGTTTTATGATGTTTGTAACCAGAATTAAATTGAAATCTCTAGATGACATTGATATCCAGTGCATTTCAGTACATTACCTCCTGGTAATGGAATTCTGGTGTTTGAAATGCATCTGTACATATTAATCAGCACCACATTATTCAGATCAACATTTAGGAACACCCGAGTGATGCATCGAGGCCTTACAGCTATTAATATTTTCTTGATTTGAAAAGATTATCTGCTTTCCACTTCCGCAAATTGTTTTTTCCTATAAAAAACTTGGCAAAATGATTCAAACCTAGCGGTTTAAGCTTGATTTCAAGCCTTTTCAGCAATATTTTGAAGTATGCTTCCGCACCTAACCCATTTTGTTTCCCGAATAAACTGTTGTAGTTACATGCTTTGAAATATGTTAATGAACTGAACTACATGTTGATGTCAATCTCATGAGTTCACTTTTCTTGATAAGTTGAATATGTGACTCTTAATTCTTAAGTAGTCATTTAGTTCGGATTGTTGGATGTTGGTGATATTTTTAGGCTGTAGTAGTAAGATATGCCACTTGAATTTTATGTCATGGATGTTTTGATCGTATATGGTTTCAGATAGTAGTATATAATGTAATAACAGTCTATGTTACTCTTATGTCTTCATATATTAGGCCACATTTGGTACTTCTTAATTTGTTAATTGCATATGCTCTGGGTTGAAAATGGATAAGCATTGTTTGACAAGCTGGTTGCGACTTCCAATTTTATTGGGTGTACCTGTGTAAGTTTCTTTTTCTGATTTCAGGCAAGGTTTTATGCATGTTCAGAAATATATGCCTCTTTATTTTTGTTTCTATATTTTCATCCCATCCTCCACCGCATTGGACACAAACTTTGAACCAAACTTTAAATATTTCAACAAGAGGTTCCGAAACAAACACAACAATAAGACTCTAATTTTAGATATTTTTTTTACTGAGTGGTTTTAGTCAATTATCTAAACCAACTTCATAAAGTCATATCATGGTATGTTCTTGGAGGTTGCCCTCCAAATGCTTTGTATTGAATATGTTGATTCCAACATACTTAAGCCTAGGGTTTGAAATGGTTCTGTTGCGTACTTTTAAAATAATATCATCATATTGGGTAGTTATTTGGGGATTCTCTTTAAAAAGTGGACTATGGAATCTTTTGTTACTAGTATTGATGTGGTGTCTTAAAGGGAGAATATTTAGATAAGTCAAATGTTTCATATGGCAACAGGTTCGCCTTGGTTGGCATGATGCTGGCACTTATAACAAGAATATCAAGGAGTGGCCACAAAGAGGTGGAGCTAATGGAAGTTTAAGATTTGAAATTGAGCTTAAACATGCAGCCAATGCTGGTAAATCTATACTTTATTTGCATTTTGTATTTTATTTTATTTTTTTGCTTGGTTGATTTTATTGTTGCCTCACGAGCTGGTGCTACAGGTCTTGTAAATGCACTTAAACTCCTCCAGCCTATCAAAGAGAAGTATTCCACTCTGACATACGCAGACTTATTCCAGTTGGCCAGTGCTACTGCTGTGGAGGTCATTTTTAATATTCTGGTGTTAACATGAGTGATAGAACTAATCAGAGATTGATTGTACTGATCAATTAATTGAAATTACAGGAGGCTGGAGGCCCCAAAATCCCTATGAGGTATGGAAGAGTGGATGTGTCTGGACCTGACCAATGTCCGGAAGAAGGGAGGCTCCCTGGTAAGATACAGTAGTTTTGTGGACCACATATGTGTTGTGCATATTTGGAAATGACATCCTTTTGCTTTGTCAGAATCACCAAAATCTGAAGCATGATACAACTGCATTTGCTTTCCATATGTGACTGTTGATTAGAAAACAATCAAACTGACCATGGCTAAAGAATTGGCAATGACATTTGGTATTGGGACATAGATTGGAGCATGTCATTTATATGGGCTTACTAAAGAAAATTGTTTTGTTTGCACTATAATATATTTAAGTGATGGAACTTTTACTTCTATGGGCCATGTTTATATTTTGATAAATTATACTTGTAGTAGTTTATCTTGGTGCTTCTATTGATGTACAGAGAATTCTATCAAAAACTGTTTTATTGCATGTTTGATTGTCCTTGATTAGAGGATTCTACTGAAATTATTGGTAGTTGCTGCCCTGGGATGTTGTTTCTTTTCTGATGGCCATCTATTTCTTTGACCAATATTTGCACACATGAAATTTTATTATATATAATACTTTTACAAATCAAGTTTGATTTAATTATGCCTCCGGTGATAAATGAATTGTCTTTAAAACTACATATTTCAACTCATACTTCGTTGTATTATCACCTGAATCATATATTCTATGTGGCATTTTACTTTTGGACTTTCAAAATTTCTTGATGCTTCAGATTCAAAGTGAGAGTTTCTGCTATCTGTTGGTGATTGTATACCCACTTCTGCTTGAGGTTTAGAAACTAACTTTTTAGTCTTCATCTCATGATTAGATGCTGGCCCGCCTTCACCTGCTGGTCATTTACGTGATGTTTTCTACAGGATGGGATTGAATGACAAGGTTACAATCTTGATTATGATCACTTTATCTTTAACGCCATTGTATTTGGTGTGTGATGTTTACTATGGAGCTGTTTTGTTCTCAGGAAATAGTTGCTCTGTCTGGTGCACACACATTAGGGAGGTCCAGGCCAGATCGCAGTGGTTGGGGAAAGCCAGAGACAAAATATACGGTATTCATTAGCTTATCTAATTATGTTAATGCAGAAAGAATGTCATTTGGAGCAACTTATGGTGGAAATCCTCTTTTCTTGGGGGGTTAATACTAAGCATTTAGCATGAAAAATTCATTGCAGTTTTCATTAATTTTTATTAAATCATGCATGTGGTATCTGCCCCTTATTTATTGCAATTAAGGAACTCTTGTTTTATATCTTTAAGGCTTCCAAAGGTTGAGAACTATGGATTTATCGACTATTCTGTTTTAGTGGGAAGGTAAACTAATTTAGTGGACCAGGTCTGAAAATGTTTTATATACATTTAACTATCATGAACAGCAGTGGATAAGTTGATAATTCATCCATTTCTGAATCTTCCCCTTTTCTGGCACCGGTGAAATGAAAGCACCGCTGCACCACTGTCTCTTTTAGGTATTGACAAAGAAAGAATTTCTCTGGAAATCCACTTCACACTTCACTCCATCAAAGACTAAGGATTCCTCTACCCCTAACTGGTAAATCTGGCAAGGCCCAATTTCAGATGCCTGCCTGTAGGACCCTTCACTACTAATCCTAGTCCCTCATCTATGTTTCCAAAACTTGCCAAAGCCCATAGGCCCCAGACCTCTGCACACCACTTTCTTTTGCATCTTCTACTCTCTAGGATACACACACGAGTTTTCCCCCATCCAATCTACACCACACACTATATAACTTCCTAGATCATTCTTCATCTTTTTCTGACAGAAGGAAGTTATATAGTGTGGTGTAGATTGGATCGGGGAAAACTCCTGCATCTCAAGGCGAGGCACGCGCCTGAGCTGAATTAGATCGGCTTTTAACCAGCTTCTCTCTTTATATCTCTCTCTTCCTCTCACACCCACACCCAAACCCAAACACTGACACCGACACTGACACTGACACTGACACATACAATTTTTAATAAAGGAATAAAAAAATGAAGGTAAATTATATGCGTCCCATGTAAAATATTCGTTTACATAGAAAAGTTTATATTATATATTGCTGTCTTTGGTGTGTTAGTTTCTTCCTTTTCTGGAATTTTTTTTGTATCAGTCCAGTACAGTGTTATCAGAGGCCCAAGGTGCACTAAGGCGCTAGAGGTCCTTTGGAGACTAGGCGCAAGACAAAAGGCGAGGCACACGCCTGAGTGATGCGAGGCGTGCAATTGAAAAATTATTTTACTATTAAAGCATGTTCATTTTCCTTATTAAAGGCACAAATGTTTTCAAGGGTGCACCCGGGCACACAATAGGCGCAAGTATTGTGCCTGTGCCTGTGCCTGGAGCCTAGGCATGCGCCTAGACGCACCTTTGACAACACTGCTCCAGTATAGTTTTCATTGTCAGTGTCAATACTACTCCCTCCGTCCCAAAATTCTTGGGTGTTTTGGGGAATCCAACTTTTCATGGTGGTAGGTTTTTAATATTTTTTTATTATATTGATAAGAGTGAATTTTCAAATTTATCCTTGCTAAAAGACAAAAGAATACTCCAAAATTAGTGCACTTGTTTAATAAAGTAAATGTCAAAAGGGTAGTTTAGAAATGTTATAAAAAGTAGTACATTCATTTGGAATAGGACATGTATTTTGGGACGTCCCAAAATAGAAAGATGGACAAGTATTTTGGGACGGAGGGAGTACTTAATTTGAGGGTACTTAACAGCACAACGGCCCAACTTTGCAAAGCCTTATACCATTTACATGGGATTGGCTCCAAGCAGGTCTTTTTTTTTTTTTTTTTTCATTTTGATTTTAGCTCCATCTCGGCCCTTATTTTGAAGTCATTGATATTTTGACTTTCTGTACTAACTTAAATATGATAAATTCCTTTTTAATTTAATTAATTTTTTCAAGCTCCTTTAGTTAGTATCAAAACCCAGCCTAGTGTAGCAATAATCTCCTCTGTACAATGGAACAATTTATAATTTTGATCATTATAAAATCAGGTAATGATTGAACCTCTAAATCTATTATATGACAGAAAGATGGACCAGGAGCGCCGGGTGGACAGTCTTGGACAGTGAAGTGGCTGAAGTTTGATAATTCCTACTTCAAAGTATGATATTTTGAAATTTTTTTGTTTATTGAGAAAAGGTTACTTGTGTGGTTCTTATTGCTGATTGCTTTGATGGTACAGGATATTAAAGAAAGAAGGGATGAAGATCTACTGGTTTTGCCAACAGACGCTGCTCTTTTTGAAGATCCATCATTTAAGGTGAAAGGCTGCATTTGGTTTCAAGAGAACTCGTTACTATTTGTCTAACCATTGATTTTGCTAAAATTTTACGTTAAATGCAGGTATATGCTGAGAAATATGCTGAGGATGAGGATGCATTTTTCAAGGACTATGCCGAAGCTCATGCCACACTCAGCAACCTTGGAGCAAAATTTGAACCTCCTGAGGTTTGTTAGCTCCAGTTATTTACGATGTTTCTGCTTAGAGTGCTAACCAACTAATCAAGTATAAGTAGTTGATTATGTCTTCATATGAGCTGGAATACCCTCCATGAATTGGTTTATAACAAGAACCATTTTGATTGACTTTTTTTTTGTAAAAAGAATTCTCAAGTACTTTTATTTTGATGAGTGTGTTCATTTCTTCATTATGCGTAAATTTTTATAATTTATGTCGAGTACTTATGTTTTATTGCATGATGACTTTTCCTCTTAAAACTTGCATCATTCTTTCAATCATACCGTTTTATTGCATGATGACTTTTCCTCTTAAAACTTGCATCATTCTTTCAATCATACCATTTCATGAACATTCTTTTGCATATGATTTCCAAATTTCTTGTTAGTTGTCGCATGGGAATAATTAGTTTTCATGGCAGATTCTAAATCTCCTTCAGTGTCTATTAACTAAAGAACATTTGAATTTGATTCTACCAAGAGATAATGATGATTATTAATATATTCATAATAGCATCGTTATTATTATTTAATTTTTTAGCCACCTGAACTTCATCTAAGGTATGCATATTGGTATTGTTTTATTAATCATTTAAACATTTAGGCTTTCCTAAACAATATTTTTATTTTTATTTTTTCCCCTGGTAGGTAGCAAAACAAGAAATTTGATTGCTATACTAACTTCTATGGATTCTGATGATCAGGGTATCGTGCTAGAAGATGGTGCTGCACCAGAAAAGTTTGTGGCATCCAAGTACTCATCGGGAAAGGTGGTTAAAAATTACTATTATTATGTTACCCTTTTAGGAATGATTGTGAATAATTTCCTGCGATTTTCTGCATCAAAGACTCTTATGAAGGAAATTGCATCTATGCATTTGTTTAAAGTCAATTACTTTTCATGGTTGATGCAGGATTAAATTACAAGTATCTTGTAGTTTTCTTGTGCCGTTTCTTTTAATAACACAAGATGAAGCTATTATCAAATCCTGTGAACTCACATCTAAAACTTGGAAGTCTAAATGGAAGAGTGGAATAAATTCAACGAGTGTTGTTGCCTATTTGCATTGCAGAGAGAGCTGTCGGATTCTATGAAGCAGAAGATTCGAGCAGAATACGAAGCAATAGGGGGAAGCCCAGATAAGCCTCTCCGATCAAACTATTTCCTTAATATTATGATTGTGATTGCTGTTTTGGCACTTTTGACATCTCTGGTTGGAAACTAAGTTGGTATTTTTGAGGTTTCATATAGAAGTCACATTTCTTGTGATTTGGCTTGTATGGCTGTGTGGTTCACAAAATAGATTTTGATTCACATTTGCAAATCATAACACTGTGAAGAAGCTAACTGTCTCTTTTAGGAATGTAGTTAGTGTGTTTAAGTTCTCTGGCGTTGATAACTGCAATTAGACCATTCTCGAAATACAGTAACATCTCTGAATTTGCTAGGGCTTGTAAATTTAAACTTTCCCCACTGTCACAGGCTCTGTTTATTTTGGCGTAAAATATATTCCCTTTTCAGGTAAAATATTTTTTATATTTTGGTGTTTGGCAAAGATCTATGTTGAGTCTATTGGGTGGGGCGAGTAAAATAACTTGCCGAAAATTGATGGGTAAGTTATTTTTGTTAGGTTTTAATGTTTTTTTTCTTCGTAAATTTTTTTACCTGACAATCAAACACCGAAAAATAAAAATAAAAAGTATTTTACATTTTAACAAACGGAGCCTTAATACAAAAGGACAATGCGGAGTCGGTTTGTTTTTGGAGGATCCCAATAGCTGAAAGAAACAGTTTGTGACAGAATTGCTGGAAGGTAGGTTGGTCTTTTTTGATATCAACATCATCCTGTTATATGCAAGTAATTGTCCAATTGTGCGGTATGTGTTTGTAGATACAAAATATTGCTTACAAGAGACGTGTTATCGAAGTAAATTAGTAGTAGTTGATTCGATAAATTAGTAGTAATTGATAACGTTCCGCTCTCTCATGTTTGTGTTGTTGTGGCTGTGCTGCTTCTGAAAAATCAGTAGACAGCCATTTTTCTGATCAGAGTGAAAGGATTTGTGCTGCTGCTGTCAAGCAGTTGATTATGATGAAGATATTCCATTTATCTTTATTATTATTATTATTATTAAATTTTTTTTTTTTTTTTTTTGGTTGCTTTTTGTGCATATGAAATTTGGCTTATAGTTTCCAAAATATTAGAATCAGCATGAAGAAACATTATGGATTGCTTTGGTTGGTGACAAAATATCAATTACATTATTAAGCATTCTAATCCAAAGATCACCCTCCTCTACGCTATTGTTCGGTTCACTGGTTCTAATTGTTCGATTGCTCAATTTGGTACTAATATTTCTAATATGGTTGGATCAGTTTGGGTCTTATTTAGTCTAAATAACATTAGGAGGGAATGTGATTTTACTTTTTTACTTTGAATAATAACCATTATATTATTCTAATTGAAAAGTAGAGTTAAAAGTAAAAATATAAGGGTAAATCAAAGATTCTGTAATAACATTTTGTTGCAATTTATTCTATTTGGCTTATTTATTAATTTTTTTCTCGGACAAGGAGGGAGGATGGGGTGAATTGAATCTAGGCCTTCACACATAATTTAAGAGACTGCATTAACCAGTTGGGCTACCCAGCTCAATCCATCCAGGAGTAGGTATTCGGTCTGCTTAGTGCACGTGCATAGCCGTCTTTGTACACACATGGGCACGTGTTATTTGTACAGCATGCTGATATGAGGGGGTTATAAAACTTGTCACTAAATCAGTTAAAAGTGTTTTTTTTTTTTTTTTTTTTAATTTTAAAAAAATATTATTAATATTAGTAACACAACCTTACCAACTGACTTTTCTAAAAAGTATATATATCACATAATATATATATATATTTTGATGATTTGTGTTTAAAAACATTTGGGTCATCGGGTTGGGTATGGGTTAACTCGTCTTTTTATGACCCCTCATAAATGAGTTACTGACCCATTACTTAACCGCCCATTCAAAACCCCTCTCAAATCCAAGCAATTGCTGTCCCTAGTATGTATCGAATGTATATGTATAAGCAGTGACGGAGTCAGGATTTCAAGTGAGGGGAGACACACTGTTAAAAAAAAAAAAAACAATACGGAGTACATATATATATATATATATATATATATATATATAACAACTATAAAATTTAAAAAGACAAAGAAAAAGAAATTTATTAAAATATAAAAGGAAAGAAAAATGAAAGAACTTTAATAGGAAATAGTTAAGAAGTTTCAATTGAGGAAGAAAAATTTGATTTTTTTTACGAAGGAAATTTAAGGAATGTAAAGAGTAAAAGAGAAAATAAAAAAAAATAAGAATATAATTTTAGGAACTACAAATTTGAGGGGGGCCACTATATAAATTTTTTCATATATATAAAAAATTTTAAAAAAATTACTACATATGTAATAGGTTGCTAGCCAACTCGCAACCTTCCCTTACATTGGCTACGTCCCTGTGTATAAGTGAGTTGATGATTCATTCTACCTTCACTTAACACCTCTCGATGTCTCTCTCTATATATGCATACATTCTCCTGTTCACGATGTTTGGGGACTAGTTGAATTCCCCCTTTTTTTTTTTTTTTTTTTTAATATCTCTGGCAATCTGTATATATATCAGTACACATTTTGTTTTCTACAAATAAAATCTATTTTGAAGAAATAGTTGAAGAATCATTGTTTGGACGGCTATCAAGCAAACCCAAGTATTCCAAAGCTTTACAGTAACAACATCCACAAAGAGAGAGATTCCAAAATTAGTAACATCTGAAAATGGTCTCCAACTTGAAATAATAAAAAAAATTTATATATATATATATATATATATATATATAGTTCTGATCTCTTATTCTCATGGAATAAGAAAATTAATCAACACTTTCTATATAGACTGTTAGATTAAATTTAACGGTTCAAACCCACCTATGACCTTCTCTTTTAACACAAAATCACTCTTACCCTATTTTTAGTTTCTTTATTTAATTTTACCATTACTATCTACTATAACAATAAAAAGGTAATTATCAAAATAAAAATAGAAACTTTTGAGTGGGAGGTTTATATTAAAAAGGTAATTATCAAAATAAAAATAGAAACTTTTGAGTGGGAGGTTTATATCCGGTGGTTGGGATAGATTGATGGCTCAATTCAACTCTTTCTCCATTTCTTTGTGCGTGGCTGAATTTGAATCCATGGACAAAAGTGTGGACAAATGATTACTCTCCGTGGATTAGGTTGTGGAAGAGTTTCACCCTTTCTTTTTTTGGGTTACCTTGTTGTTTCTGAGGTGGATTCTAAGTCCCACCATAGTCAGTACATCATCCAATAATCAAACTCACAAATTCACAGATTCAATAATGAATTTCACCAAATGTCCAACTTCAAATTGAAATAGAAAGAACTTTTGTTCAAACTTTAAATGAAATTTTCTTCAATTTCAATTCCAATGAATCAATTCAATATTCCAAAATGCAACAGTATATTTTTTGATAAATTTACTTATACTAGATAAGTATATTAATTTACTTATACTGAGAACAACAAGATGTTTCTTAAAAAAATGTTATAATATCATATTGTTGTTGCAAAATTGAAAGATACGGGTATTATTTTTCTTTCAAAAAAAATCTAAATAAAAACAAATTTGTTAATAAAATATACTGGTATTATTTTTTTTTTCAAAGGTTTCTATTTTTATTTTGATAATTACCTTTTATTGTTAGTAGTTTTGTGTTTAAAGGAAAGGTTATAGGTGGGTTTGAAAAATGACCGTTAAATTTAATTTAATGGTCTATATAGAAAATGTGGATTAATTTTTTTGCTCCATGAGAAGTAAAAGATCAAGATTATATATATATATATATATATATATATATATACACACACACAGACACCTCGGTACGAAGAAACAATTACAGAGAGTCTTTTAGTGTGCGTAGTAAAAGTTGCATCGATGAATGTAATATAATTTAAATCATATAAGACTCTTTTATATTTGTTATTATAATATTTAAAATAATTATTTTTATTTAATATACACTTTTTATTTTTCTTATATGTTACAAGGATCTCAAATATCTCCTTTGAGTTTTATGTTGTCCTTTACATTAGCATTTAAATTTATTATTTTTGTTATTGACAAAAAAAAACTCATATTCCCATATTTGTCCCCACAGGTACTCGAATCCACACTCATATTTGTATGTATGAAATGTATTGTTAACATATATATTTTTAATTTGTTTAATAGTCACAAAGATGAGAAAAATATATTAATATTTAAAATCCAAAATTACATAGTTGTATTATGGTAAAACCGTAAAAGGCCTCAATAAAGTTATCAAAAAAAATAAAATAAAATAAAGTCTCAATTAAAGTCTGTATCTTAAATCAGAAATTGAATTGAGCAAACGGTGCTCTTCATCCCTGTAGAGTTTGTTCTAATCCGGTTTATAAAAAATAAGGATAAATGTCTACTTTCCAGAGAGAATGTTGGGGTTTTTAGTGCCCATAAAAAGAACCATCATCAAATATTTGAAAATGTGAATTTAGTTAAATAATAAAAAAAAAAAATTAAAAAAGAGACAAGTGAGGTGGATTGGATAATCACACAATATTAACAAATTTTCTTATGCAGAGAATTCTCTTATATAAAACTTTAACCCTCATGAAATCATAATGTTACACTCTAATCAAGAAGATTAGATTGTTGTATAATACACCATATGGCATCCTAATCCTAATCTTAATACTCAGGTTAGGTAACAACTAAGATTACCGCCTATATATAGGCAGATTCTATCTAATGGACAGTTACGGTATTACAAGCTATGGTTAACATTTAGTTGTTAAAAGATACTATCTATTCTTCTAGAATTTCTCCAATCTACTAATTTCAACAAATGATTGAATATTATAAAATTCTTCATCTCTTTACAACATTCCAATATAATATAAACTAGAGGGAGGTAGATTGGTGTCAGTTAGGCGAAGAAGATGGGAGGAAATAATATAAAAAAGGGAAATAGAGAAAAAAATAATAATGTAATTAACGACTTTTCTTCCACGACTTTACAACCGATATATATAAATATATATATATACACACTAGAAAGATTAGTAAAACAAATTGTAACGAATTTTAATTTCTTATCAGCTGTGATTGGAGTGAGGTGGTAAAGTGCTTCTTGATGGGCCAAGTATGTAAGATGCTATTTTCATGTTGTTCTGGTT